AACTGAGAGCTAAAGTGTCCCAAAATAGCATTACAAACAAGTCATTTGTGCGCCACTAATAAAATAAAAGCCAACATAATAACAAGAACAACAACAAGAACGAGGGATTCAATGGTCTCTTTGACGACCCAAAATCAAATTAAATCCTTGAAACGCTTTTAACACAAATTGCAACACTTAATTGAAACGGCTCGGCTTAAACAAGAAAAGAAATTAATTACAAATTTTACTTGCTTCATTTGTTGTCACTCGTCTCATACCATATTTTATTTTCACTTTGATCCCCAGTTGCACGCTTTCAAACTTATCCTTATACAGCTGATTGCTTTTATGTTTCCTTCAATTGCCCATAATAAAACAGGTAAGAGTACTCGACAGATACCCTGTACTTTTGTTGGAATTGATTGGTGATTTACACACATCTTCTTAGTTTGAATTATGATTAAAAGCTGATACAAACCGGCTCTGCACGGCATCTTAAATTTTTCACGCATTTTCCGACAGTTCTGGTGAATTTTGATAAAGAACGCTCATATCACTCGAAATGTTTTCACATAGCTACCAAAGTTAAGCGAAAGAGAGAGAGAGAGAGAGAGAGAGAGAGAGAGAGAGAGAGACTGAGAGTATACGCTATAATATTTTATAGCCCTCAGTGGGGTTGTCTCTTTCTATCTGCTTTGATATCCCTTATTTAAATGCTCTTGCGTAGGGCATATATTAAATTTAATTTACTTTGAACCTAGTCGCAATTAAATTAAATTTCATGTGACACAGAGCTGTCATCGCGACAATGGGGCCTGCGAAGGCAAAAGGCAGTAAAACTTTTCCATTACATCGTCGAGTGGGGTAAAATAATGTATGTATATATACAGAGCACATACATAAGTACATATACATACATATATAACATAAATAAATATAATATATATATATGTATATGCATTCAATTCGCCGTCATATTCCGTTCCGCTTATTTCTTTGTGTGTAAGGGACAGATTTGTAATGGTTTGAGGTCTTCCATTAATTGGAATATTTCTCAGAAATTGGTTTTCATGCAAGTGAGTGCATTTAATAAATATAGTCGGGTCGTAGTTCCAATAAGTTTTTCCACATTGTTGTTTGCTTATACTATCAGTATGGCCAACGGATTGGCCATCTGTTAAAATATAACTTGCATATGACAATAATAAGATAAGCATACATTTAAACAAGGTATTAAGTATAGTAAACTAATATTTACTCCCATCATGATTGTGGCAGTGACAATATGCAAATAATTTTATCTCTGTATCTCAAATGTCTACTATCGTTCTAGTTAGTTAAAACTTTAAAAACCAAAAACCATTTCACCTCATTAATTTGAATAAATGAAAATTCAATATAAAAGATAAACATAACGAGAAAGATGATCTATCTTGGCGCGCCGAAGATTTAATACCCTTGCAGACCGAACCTATTCATAATGCTCATAATGCTTTGCTCGTATCTAAAAAGCACAGGGAAAATAGTTAATGCCGAATATGGGTAAAATATCTAAAAAAAAAAGAAAAAGTTTTCTATCCAACAACTTAATTTTAGTCTGTTCTTTCCTATGACAGCTATATGATATAGTGGTCCGATCCAGTCGGTTCAGACATATGGGTGCAAAGTTTCATGACGATAGCTTTACAACTAAGATACTAGTTCGCAAAGAAACAGACAGACAGACATGGCTATACCGACTCGGCTGTTGAAACTGATCAAGAATATATATACTATATGAGGTCGGAGATGTCTCCTTCTATGCGTTACACTTTTCGAGACAAAATGATAATACCCTCTGCAATCCTCAAAAGTATTACATTTTTCTTTATTAATTAACGTCGTTTGATTTAGGTAACTATTTTTCTCATGGGAAAACAGCCTGTAAACTCTTGTTTATTTCGGGCAAGTTATAAATCAATACATATATTTATATGTATATGTTTTTCTATTTAATTGTTCTTTGTCATACATGAAAATAAAAACAATTATTCATGCAAAGGACAATTACCAATACTAACTAAGAAATCGAAAATGGAATTGGGCGTTAACAATAATAATTAAAATTGTTCTTTTGATTTGCTCGTGAATGCACACGTTTTTTTTTGGCAATTTAAACGTCTTTGTGTATGGTTAAGGTAAACATGAATTTTACACATACTTTCATTTATGACTTCACATGTGACTTCGTCAAGAAAAAAATATAAACGTGCTTTAAAATATTAACTTCCATTTTGATGTTAGGGTAGGGGTGCAGGGAGTAGTTCAGGCGGCAAGTATTAAAGGAAAAGCTATTCCAATTAAATTTAGAAATTGAGAAAGTTTATGTTCGCTTTTGCCCGTGAATTGGTCACTTGAATGGAATAATCAAATAGATAACAGCAAAAAGCTGACACCGCAGTCTGTATGCATGTGTGTGTGTTTGTGTGTGAACGCGCTTTGGGCAACTGGTGGAAAATTCGACACCGTCGCAAGGCAAATCGCTCAGCAGCGGTTTCTACAATTTCAACGGTTGCCTGGTGCTCGCTTTGGAAGGTGGTGGGCGTGTGGTGGGGGAGGGGGAGGGGGCAAGGTGAAACAAATGGTGTGACCATCGGTGGGGAATGGCGGCCACAGTGTGGAGGTTGGAGGGGCGGATGGGGAGGGCAAGCGTTAAAGTGACGCATTTAAACGGTTCTTGTTGCTGTAGCTGCTATCGGTCTGCCCCAATACATATGAAACGTGTATGTATTTATACATATACATGTATGTATACATATACATATATATATACATTTAATGCTATTGCTGTGCGTTTTCATTATATACATATATTAATTTTTTTGTTATTTTGTTGATGCTCGCTCTGCTCACAATTTTCGCGTGCTTGGCGCGTTTTGTTTTGTTGTTTTTTTAAATTTTCAGGGCGCGTCGTCATCGTTGTTGGGGGTTGGTTACACTTGATGGTTTCGTTATACCCTGTACCAATTAAAAAAAATTTATTTACAAGTAGAAGGCAGTAGAAGACATCGCGGAACCTATTTAGTCTTATCGCAGTCAATCTTTATTGCATTCGACAGCATGATCAACAGTAAGATTAAAAGAATTTTTTTTTATCAGTTACTTTTTTAATTTCTTACAAAATATAGAGAGTAGATAATGGAGAAGAAAAGAGCATAGCCGCAGTTTGCGGGGTATTTGTGTGGTATTCTATGTACTGGAGAATTGATTACAGGGTATCTGCTGGTCGTGGCCCCTTATACGTTCGGCCGCACAACCTGTGGCATTCGCGTGCCAAACAATGGCCATAAAACGTCCAGCTGGCCCAAAACAAAGCATTGCCGTCAGCCATCATTGTTCCAACATTTGAAATTCAAAACGATCGTCCGCCACGACCTCTCCCCTCTGCAGCGCCAGAATGTCCATAAGTTTAATTCCTAAAAAAAAACAAATACTTGGCCTCCTGAAGTTAACGCACAAACGCATCGCCGTGCCTCGCCATCCCATCCCTTAAGCAGAATCTAAGCGAAACATGAACCAAAACCAGCCTAGGCCCAAAACCAAATCTGATCCAAATGCAAATCTGGATCCTTAAAATCAGAACGAACGCCACATCCCGCACATATGAGGCGACACGCGAGATATCGTATGACCCGGCATTGGTAATTCAATTAAATAAGAAATGAAAAGAAGACAAATGTCGAGTATAACTTAATGAATCAATTCTGGCTGAGCTGGCATATTGGACGGGGGAAAGCGATACTTGAATTAAAATGCATTTTACAGGGTATATTGACAAATCAACAAATTGAATCACACATTTGGTTCGCTTTTCTTGTTTTTTTTTTCAGAGAATTCGAAATGCCTAATTGGTATTATATTATATACGTATATATAATTTCTACCGTGCATATCGATATAAAAATAAGTGAAACTCGTTCAGCGAATGAGAAAATATATTTTTGAGGCGAAGTTTCGACATTTTTAACATGAACAAAAATACTTTCGTTTCCACTAATTTTCCACACTTGCAAATTAGTGGAAACGGAAGTATTGAAGATTTTTATTCATCTAATAATCTTCAAGCTCGTATCCAAACCTCAACATGTTAAAATCTATAAAAGTAGTTTCACATATTTCGGAAATGCCCCATATGATCGGAAAAATGGTGAAACACCCCACGCCACGTTCTGTCCATTCTCTCAATTGGGTTGGCATGTTGATTCCTCTTTTTGTTTTGTCGGTTGATTTACCCCTGATTGCAATTATGCATTTTCCCATTGCTCCTTCTCCGCCCGCTGTACTTTCCACTCCATCTCCAACTGCTCCACAAGGGCCAAAGTCATTGGAAAACTATTTGCAAGCCGAGCAACCCCACAATAACAAAAACAATTGTGAGTCGGGGGATGACTGATGGTGCCCTGATGTCCTGATGCAGCTTCGTTATTGTCCACGAAAATGAACGTAAAGTGAAAAACGAATAATGAATGACGAATTCCGTCGCAGACCCAGCCCAGTAAGGAATAAAAATCGCAAGAAAAAGACAAGAATGTTCCGGTTAGGAGATACCCTGTACCCTGTACCGACTAGCTTGCATACATTACAAGAAAACAAATGCGAGGAAAAGTATAATATCCCTGCGCCTGTTACATACTTTGGCATGTCCTTCAATGGGTACAGGGTATAGGAATCTATATACATATATACTATTTATGTGGATATTCATAACATATTCTATTAAATTTTACAGATATAATATTTAAAAATTATTCAAAACTATCAATAAGAAGAAAAGGGACCAAAAGTTGCCCAGCCTAAAGCTATATTTACGCCATATACCCATTTTTAAAATGTAATTGAAGAGAACTTTGCGGTTGGTTACATTTTGAAGGTCGGTAATTCGAGAGAAGTAAATATAACCGATAATAGATATTTTAAGTCAAGCACCCATCTGTATGTTCGCGCACATAATTAAATAGAGCGTATATTTGGATACTTACGGATAAAAGAAGAAGAGAAATGTTGTAAGTAGCAGCACAATCCATGCGAAAGTCGCCGGAATGTAACGGGTTTTCACATCGCATTTGGGCATTGTGTTGCTGCTTTTGTTGCTGTTGTTGTTGGTGCAACGTCAGTTGGTGTCGCCGTTTTGGAACTTGTGACGATGATGATAATGATAATGATGATGGTGGTGATGATGATGATGATGATGATGATGACTGTCGATGCAATAGGCGATAGCTTGATAGCTCGATGACGATGACGATGACGTAGCGATGCCGGATCGTGTGCAACTGCAAGTGCGACAGACAGAAAACAACATAAGAGACGTAGAGGCGAGACGAGGCGAGGCGACGCGTGAAATGGGATCAAGTGAGCGATTGTTGTAGTTGCTGCTGTTGGTGTTGTTTTCCAGCTTCAGCTTCAGCTTCTCACTGTTATAATTTGCTAGCGTTTTGTTGTTGCTGGCTGCGAATTAGGCGGTGTTATAAAAACACATCGTCACACACATACACACACACACGCACGCACACATACATGCACCTACACCCACACGCACACATGCACACATATACACAGCGTGGCGGCGGGGCAAGCGGCAAACGCGATTTTTGCTTTATCCAAATGAAAACTATTTGAATTGTTTGTTCTTGGCGTTAGCTAACATCGTTGTTGTTGTTGCTGCTGCTGTTGTTGTTGTTTTCGTTGCCGTCTTCGCCCTTTTAGTAAATTTGTATGCCGTTAGTACTCCTGTTTTTCTTGTCTTTCTTGTCGCGCCTGTCACCCGTTTTGCTGTCGTTCGTTGTTCTTGGTTCCCACCTTGCGTTCATTCGTTTCGTTTGCGTTTTTGCTTCTTTCCTGCTGCCGCTGTTGCTTCTTCTTATTCTGGCTTTTTAATGCTTTTTTCTACACACACGCACGCACGTTGTTGCTATTGCTGCAACTTTTTTTTTGCGATATTCCTCGCCGTTCGTTCGCTTCTCTTCCCCTCTTTCCTTTCCACAGCACACCACACCGCTCCGCACACAAACGATGATGGTGGCGTTGCCTGCAATATCGTGCGCTTAACTTTCAGTCGAAAGCCAAATCCAAATGCACATACATCACTTGCGAATCGTTCACTTTATGTTTGCCTTTCATTCCAATTATGCACTTTTGGGTATATATATATTTACGAAAAAATAAATAAAAAAAATAACCACAACAACGCGCTGCGCATAATTTCCTCGCCCGTCGTCTGTCGAAAAAATTGGCTTCTGTAAATGCAATGTTAAAGCCAGTACAGGCTAACATCATGTAAGTGGCTTTTATGCCTATCGATAGTTTCTCAATTGTTCAACACTATTAATCGAGTAAAAATAGTTACCAATAAAAATAAAAGACTTATTTATTAAGCTAAAAAGACTTTTTTACTAAGCGTATTTAAATACGAAAAATAGCAATACTAATTCCAAATAGTTGGTTGTAATATATTTTTATAAAATTATAATATGAATATCGGACAGTATCGCAGCATCGACTACATGTCTTACTTAAAACTTATCGACACTGTTCGAATGATAAGCAAATATAAAAATATAAAACTTTACAAGAAATTATAAGAATAAACATATCAATATCAGCATTGGACCTTTCTTTATGTTTGAATACTTTAAGTTCATTCATAAATTAAGAGTACGTCCTTAATCGATTCCGATAATAATGTAGTTGTCTTGCACACGTGCAGAAGCTGACTGCTATTGCACGGTGTGCTTAATATCGGTTTTCTATTATAAAAATTTGTGTATAATTTAGTTTATAAAATATTACTGACTGACTGTAAGCTCCGACGTTAAATATAATGTTTTGTTACATTAATAAAACATTTTTTTGTTTTATGAAAAAGTCATGTAACGCTCCCTCGATTGTATTATCGAATAATTTCTGGTGATGTGCCGATTGAAGCCGGACCATTGTAATTGTTTATATTCAAATATCTTTTTATAGTAAATAAAAATCTAACAATAATCGATATAAGACAATATGCTATTACAATCAAGAACACTATTGATCTATGTCATAATATTTAAGTATCGCTACACATAATAATGTTTCTTCATTTTTGTATATCGATACATCGCTTTGTTGCAATATTTATCAACATACTCAATTGAACAGAAACTTTTCAACACTTACCTACAAATGTATTTTCGCTTCTCGCTTTAATTCAGATTTCCGAAGAAACATTTTCACAAACATTGGAAAGAGAAGCCTATCATTACTGTTCGATTCAGCACAACAGCACTGTTAGGGGCAGTGGCTCAGCACGTTACCAAAGTTGTAAAATATCTCCGCTTGTAAAGCTGGCCCGCGTTGTTGCCGACTAAGCTGCAACATTACCACCGCCGTCTGGCAGACGCCACCGCCCCACTCACAGATTTTGCCCAACATGTCACGTAGTGTGCGCGCCGAGACACGCAGTCGCGCTAAGGATGATATCAAGCGCGTCATGCAGGCCGTGGACAAGGTGCGGCACTGGGAAAAGAAGTGGGTGACCATTAGCGATACGACTATGAAGATCTACAAATGGGTGCCCATTTCGTCCAACAGCGAGAAAAAGACAAAGCTACAGCTAAACAACAAGATCAGCGACAAGGAGAACTCCCAGAAAGGCACCCCCACTCCGCCGCAAATAACGCCCAGCTACGCCGGCCTCACCGCCGAGGACTCCAATACTTGTGAGTGTGTGGTGCAGCAGTACAGTGGGCTCTAATGTGTCGTGTCCTAATCGCAGTGTATGTCATTTATAATGTTTCCCTTTGCCACTTGCAGGTTTCTCAGTGGTGAGCGACAGTCAGGGAGCTGATTTCGTCTCCAGCATGCCCTTCTCGGAGGACTCCAATTCCCAGGGCAGCGACGGGCCGGTGAAGCGCCTAAAAACGAGTGATTAGCTAGACATGCACATTCACACCACATATATCAGCTAAGTACATTGCACACACCCATGCATTGTAGTGTGCCAGCGTGCTGTGAGTGTGTGTATATGTGTGTGTGTGTGCGTGTGGATGTCGGTGTAATTTATATTTTTTTCTTAAAGATCTAAGCTAAAAATTACGTTTATAAGTAAGACGATTATCATCTGCCTCACCAAGACTTAAGCAATTCTCCTAAAAGTCTAAACATAAGTTAATACAACCTAATGACATACATGTAACTATGCATAACTCTGATTGTAAACATATAGATAATAGTATAATACACATTTATGATGCAATCCTTTATGCACATAGTTTAGCTTAAGACAGTCTTCTTGTATACTGTAAAACTAACGCTGTCGCAATCGAGCGAACTTTTTGTCCCTTATGTCTAGGCCGTAGTATTTAGCACAAATAATTATATCAATTTATTTATTTGCACAAACAATAAAACAAACAAACAAAAAGTAATCACTGACTGCTTCCAACCCGGAATTCCAATTATGCTTTAACTGTGAATCAAACCTTAAAACAAACTAGTCCGAAACAATTGAAACCGAACCAAGGATGGCTCGGTTCAAAATAAAAAAAAAATGTTCGATTGAGTCCCAGTCGAAAAGTGTCAAGCCCTTTGGCCCCGTTGGCATTTATCAAACCATATTTGATAGATACCAATTTCAGGTTGTGTTCAAATTTAGCCCGCATCTTGTGTATGAAAATATTTAAATAATGTACAATATTTTCAGTGCAGGGGCAATTGTAAAATAACTGAATTCGCATATGATGTTTTTTTTTTACATTTTTCTTTTATTATTTTTTATTTTAGTTTTTTCTTTAGTTTTTCTTTTTGTATAATAAAAAAAAATTAATTTCATTCAACAAATAGTTTTCTTTCACTTGACATTAAATATACATACTCTCTTCATATCTTTTCACAATTTATATATATATATATATATAGATTTATATAGATGCAAGGCCAGCCAGGTTGTCTAATAGGCAGATGCCGTCAACTTGGTTGGAAAAGCGTACATATACATACATATTTAGTTCATCTTTCACTAAAATTTATGCTAAAAACACGCTTAACTGAAAGGAAGCACAGATTTGCACGAGTTACAAAACTTTTGATCGACCAAACAAATTACAGAGAAACGAAGAATTAAAACATTACATAGTTAAAATATTTAAACAAAAAAAAAAAAGGTTAATTACACACGCAAACAAAGCTTCGCTTTTGTTCTACAAGCAAAATATATTTTAAAAAAATATAATAAGTAAATTTAAATACCAAAATTTTAGAGAGGCTGACAAACTTCAACATGGATCATGCACTATGGAATGTCTTGGAATGTTTACGCATATAAAACTTAACCACAGGAAAAAAAATGCAAATGTAGCACAGACAAAAATTACTTTAAAATATTTAATGTGTGTAATAAAATAAATATTAAATTATACGCATTTAACTACATACTTTCATTTGTTTAAACTTGTAAGCACAAAAGTGTTATGTTCTTTTTTTCTTGTTGTTGTCGCCTGTTTTGTATTTATGTTTTTGACATTTATGTTATTAAGCTTGCTTTTTTTTTGTTTGTTTTTGTTTTTAGAAAAATATAAATTTTCCGCTTGAAGGGTTTGTTATTGCTGTGTTGTTGTTGTGGCTTAGTTTTTGCTTTTTGTATTTATTTTTGTTTTGTTTTGTTTTGCGCTGGAAAAATGACGCTTAGCTTATAAATGATGCCTGCCTTTTGTTTAAAGTTTAAACAAATACAAATTCACATACATACATACATTTAATTATATCGTCGCGTTGGTTTTTGCCTGGTATACATATACACATAGAATGATATATATATATATATATAGTTAATATTGTCATTTAGCGTTCAGAAAAATATATTCTATGCCTTTTTACAAATTCATTTTATTTTTTTTTTTGCATTCTGGCGCAAAAATGGCTTAAAAAAAACAGTTTGGCTTTACAAAGATTTGTTTAGTTTTTCTTTTCATTTTTTGTTTTTGTTTTTTATTTGCTGTGTATGTGTGTGTGTGTTTGTGTATGTGACACAAAGTGCCTCTGAATATGGGCCTCAAAATTTTACTCTTAAAATGGTTTTGTTCGGGCGCTTAAATTTAGAGATTCGCTGGCTTTTTTCTTCGGCCGTGTCCCGGGGGCGCTTCAGCTTAGAACCGAATTGGCGCCGCCTAACTTAGTGTACATAGTGTATATAGTGTGTATAGTGTATAGTGTATAGTGTATAGTGTGTATATATATATATGTATATATATATATAAATTTATATAATAATAATTGCAACAGTTTGTTTATTTTTTTTTTTTTTTTTTAGTTTAACGGAGCACAGTTTGCTTTCAATTCGTCTCCGAAGGATATGTTTGCGTAAAATATGTAAGCGCGGGCCAGGGTTAGTGGGGGTAGTGGGCGGAGGCGGCGAAGGGGTGCAGCAAATATACATATACATATGCACATATATATGCATGCACATACAACTATTAATATTGGAATATGTATGCACGGGGAACATTTCCCAGTTTATTTCTTGAGCTGGGAATACCCAATCCCATGGCGACAGTCGACCTAGCAGCTGTGGTCTATGCCTCGACATATATCATATATACGTATATATGGATTGATATATCAAACTTTAGACTTTTGTGGTTAGTTTTGTGGTGCCCTCGCTGGCGGTGGCATGCCAAGATTTGAGATGTTTGCTCTGTCCCTGTTGTGGCTTCTGTTGTTGTTGTTGCTGGTGTGGTTGTTGTTGTTGTTGTTGTTGTTGTTGCTGTTGTTGTCTTTGTTGCTTCTGCTGTTGTTGATGTTGGTTGGGTCGGTGCTATGCGTGCAGCGGATAACTGTTGGGCCGCGCCTGCGCCCGCTGCTGACGGCGACAGCTGAGCGGTCGCGATACCGCTGCCTGATTCGCTTTATATCAGCACTCTGACTTATCCTCCTCCACCAGATACTGTGTATCCTTGCCGGTGTCAGCTGATGGGTCCAGCTCCCGTGTGCGCAGCTGCAGCTGCGGTGATGACTTGTGCGTAATGCTGCTGGGCGCAATGATAGCCGAGGCGGGCTCCGTAAAGGAGCCAGAATGGCCCATGGCCTTTGACTTGGACGGTTCCTGTGGCACATCGTAGATGCCTGGTAATGTGCGAATATCGGGGGAAACGTTTAGCTTAATAATGTCGATTCATTTTTATACATCCCACTTACCTGAGCCATTGCTCATGCCCGGATCGTTGGTGGTGCCTAGCTGTACAGCATCGTACATGGGATTGGCAAAGTCGCGCGCCTTGTTGGCATTTACCGTCTGCAGGTTGTAGCCTTCAATGGGCGCCATATCATTTCCGCCGGGTGCCGAGGCGCCAGGGAATCCACTCTCGCTGAACTCCACGTTGGAGCCGTGCCGGAATGTGACGCTCTGGGACGATGTCATTGCGGGCATGCGTGCCAGCTTGCCGCTGTTAAAATAATAAATAAACAAAGGGTCGCATCATTTCGCTCAAATCGTATTGGGGGTAATCACTTTTGGGGTACTTACAAGGGTCGCTTGCGGATAACATACCAGGCGCCGACGGCAGCCATCATGACAAGCAGTATGACCATGATAGGCACCACGACAGCGGTAACATTGGCGCCGCCATGACCAAAGGCACCCGTCGTGCTGCGCTCGCAGTGCTCGCCCTTAAAGTCGGGCAGGCACTCGCAGTAGAGCTCGCCGCGATCGTCCTCCTTGCAGAGGCCGCCGTTCTGGCAGGGGCAGATGCGTGGAGCGGGTCGTGGTCGCTCGGCAGCCGCATCGCAGATAACCTCCGCGGTGCTGCGATGCGAGGGCAGAGGACCGGAGGTATCTGGGCAGGCGCAGCGATGTCCCCCAGGCACCAGCAGGCACAGATGTGAGCAGCTGGATTCATAGCACGGATTTCGCAGCGAGGTGTTGTAGCGTTTCTCGTGGTAGACCTTGAGGCCGGACGGATTGACGAGGTTGCGATGCACCACCACCTGAACGCCGCGGCCAAATTTATCCTGGCGCAGCAGCTCGCCCGTATCGCGCGTGACCCAGAACATGTTCGACTCGAACAGATCAAGCGAGACGGGATGGCGCAATTGGTCGCCCTTGACGATAGCTTTGCGGCGCGAGCCGTCGGCACGCATGGACTCGATGGCATTCAGCTTGGTGTCCACCCAGTATATAATGTGATCCTGAGAGTAGTCTATGGTCAAGCCAGCGGGATGACGTATTTGCTCCGTGATTAACGGCCGGCGCTTGGAGCCATCCATCCAAGAGACCTCAATCTTGGGCGCGGAGCCCGCATCGGCCCAATAGATGCGTCCAAGTTGTGGATTCACCGCTATGGAGGTGGGCACCTCTAGGCCGGCATTCACAATCGATCTGCGATAACGTCCGTCCGTTTTGGCCACCATGACGCGACCACGCGGCTTGGAGCCGGTGCGGTCCACTTCGGCCCAATAGAGATTCGAGGCCAGCCAGTCAACAGCAACAGCCGTCGGCTTGGAGCCGCCCTTCATGTTGAGATCCTGGGCAAAACCGATTTTCGCCTGTCCGTCCAACGCATTCACCATGTAGGAACGCTTGATGGTCTTGTCATAGCTATCTGCCCAAAACACGATCTGTTGTTGGGCATCATAGTCAAGAGCCTCGATGCGCTTCTCGGATGCAATCACATCGAATTCCTCCTTCTTCTGCAAATCCAGGCCGCGTATCTCTGGCCCATTGGCAAAGACCAGCACGACATCCTCCTTCTCAGCCTTGCATACCCCGCTGGCGCCATCCGACAGATGGAAGCCCTCGCGACAGCTGCAGGAGTAGGTGCCGTTCATGTTGTGGCACTGATGCGAGCACGTGTGCTGCCGCGTCGCGCACTCATCCACATCGGCGCACTTCTTCTTATTATCTGGCGCAATGATATAGCCCGGATAGCAGGTGCAGATGTAGCCGCCGTCTGTTAGATTGTGGCAATGATGCTGACAGCCGCCGCGACTCTGCTCCGAGCAGCTGCTCGTATGGTGGCAGCCCAGCTCATCGCTCGCATCACCGCAATCGTCGGAGTAATCGCACACCTGGGCGCGCTCGATGCAGTGCTTGTTGGCGCACTGGTACTGGGTATACAGGTCGCAGGGCTTCTGTTTGCTGGCGCACAGCGTCATGTTGTTCTCGTCGCTGCCGTCGCCGCAGTTGTCGATACCGTCGCAGATCTGGTAGCGGGCCACGCAACGATGGTTGGTACACTGGAAGCGCCGCAGCGTGTCGCAGTTAAAGTCACTGCAGACCTTTGGATCCTCATCGCTACCATCGCCGCAGTCGTCGGTGCCGTCGCACAGATCGGTCAGAGAGACGCACAGATTGTTGTTGCACTGGAAACGCGACTCCGGGCAGAACCGTCCGCCTGGGAATCGAGGCGGGCAATCAACCTCGTCAGACATGTCG